ATGTATTTATTGAAGGATGGGAGCTCAATCAACTAATGTATCTGGTTGCCCTTCTTATAAAAATGCTGGAGGTTGTATTTGCACAGTTGTTTCCAGCAGTCCCACAGAGTGGGATTTCATTACCTTGGATAGCTCCTTGCCTCTTGTCTTGACTAGCAGAGGTAGAATAAATTGTGTCGAATAAGCAAGCCCATGCAAATCTCCTTCATTTGCCCAATGTATAATTTCATGATACTATTAACATTTTGGCCCAAGTTTTGATGTTTCATGGCATACAATCCAGACTTCTAAAAATAAAAGTTGAAAAGCTGCTTTTCTCTCTAAAAATATTCCTTGGCTAAAAGTTTGAAGAAGAGGTACAGGGCAAGTCCTGCAAGCCCAGAAACAATTTAGATGTGCACCAGGTTGGAGAGGGTTGGTATATAAGATTGTTTTCAGAAAACTACTTAGAACATGAGTTCAGGGTGCTTCATAAACTCTTATACCAGTACCGAAAAGACTGGAGAAGGTGTAGAAACAATAGAAAATTTGGCTTTAAAGCTGGACTGCCAGTGGTGAGAAATGTGTGCAACAGTTCAACAAAAACATTTAGTTTTCAAATATTTATAATTAAAATAATGTGCATTTCACTTTCTACTTTTCAGGAGTTTTGCAAAAGTATTCAACATGCTGATGTGAAAGCTGTTGAATAGCTTTCTAACAACTGAGCATAGACCTTTACTTATATTTCAGACTGCTGTAAACTTCTTAACAAAGACCATACATTTGTGTGTTTATAGTTACTGGTTTGATTTGGGTAGTGGATGAACTATGAGAAGACGTGTTAGTACTCTGGCTAAGCAGCTGCTCTTTGAATTTGCCAAAAGAATTTGAACAATTGATCCTGTATGGAGAACGGAGAAAAATCTGGAAAAAAAACAGATTATCGTTGTGTTTTAAATGGTTCTTGCAATAAGGATTAGAAGCGGTTCTGCGTGTTTCTGACACAATCTGTACGTACATATCTGGAACATAGCTGTGAATGTATGTTAAGTAAACAATTAGGTTTCTGATTTGCAGCTTGAATTGCAGTATATTCAGTTCAATAGTAAAGCATGTGCTTTATATGACTGAGGCTTTACAGTAGAACCCAGGTTTCCAAAACTGAGCGCCACCTGCTCTCAGCCCCACTTTAGAAATAAGAGTAAGCACTGGTACTAGTTTCAGAACAAGGTTAAGAGGTTCTGTTCAGCCCTGGAAGCCTAGGTTCAATACTCACCACCAGTTAGTGGCCACTCTGGTTGTTGATATTATTTGATAGAAAGCTGCTTTCTGCATTCGTCTCTCTGTGGAGTTGAGCTGTATGCTGCTTTGGGTATTTGTATAGAAAAGTAGTTTGATGGAATTCAAACAGGTGAAGGAAATTACAAGGATTCTAAGCAACTTGCTTTTCTTCCTGTTAAGATGAGTAAAGATTAATGCCAGAAGAATCAACATATAAATAACAGTGTATTTATAAAAGTGAAGGAATTCCAGCTTATTCTCCATTGCTGAATACTTGTCCATATAACAATATATATTCTATATATGAAATAAATCTTCTACCTACATCCCAACATAATTTGTATCCCAAGCACAGGGCCAATTAAAGGGCTATTTGGAGTAGTTCAGCTTCATTGAACCTGTTAAATTTGTCTTGAAGGGAAATTGCAGCCTTCAGTATCAGTTTTGAATGTAGTAATTTTATGTTGGAACAGTATTTGCTACATCATATTGAAACAGCTTTACTTTGTGATGTGTATTAGGGCTAGACTGAACCTTGTTGCATGGACTACTGTTCTGATGAAAATCCCAATGGACTACTGATGTGCATTTAACTGTACAAATCTGATCAGTTGATTGGGGCCTTCAACCCCACCCCTTCAGCCCAGCATTCTCTTTACCTTTACAGCAGGTGTGGGTGGTTTGGCCAAAATGACCTTGCAGGCCAAATGGGCACCAGGGGTTCCCCACCACCCTCTTATGGCATTACTAATTTATCTTAAGTAATTAATGAGAAAGAATCCAGTGGTCTGTTGAAATCTATTTTTACTTATATATTCAGATCCAAATCTTTATTGATTGCTAAATTCTGTTGTTGAAAGGCTCTGTTGTGTCAGGGTTTCTTTTTCTTCTGGTTATATCTTGTTGCAACATTCAGATTATTTATAAGTATTATGGACGCTGTAGCTCTTGCTTTTCTTGTTCTGTTTGTAGAATACAAATTTCAGGTCAGAGAAAAAATGTTCTTAGGTGAGCAGTTTGTTTTATCCATTAAGCCGATTCTGGAAGACACATTTTCTTCATAAAGATTCATTGCTAATACGGTGGATAAGCAGCTCCTAGAATAAATATCTTTACAATATAGGAGATGTAGAAGGTATCTAATTTTAATTAAGTTAGTCATTCCCACCAAAACTCTTCCACAATGTTTGCCTCAAAGTTGGAAAAGCCAATCAAATACAAATGCCTTCAGTAACATACTAAAAACAATGTGCTTCTAATAACGGAGGTGTTCTTATGTCTGTTACAGGAATTGGGCAGTATAAGTCCTAGCACACATTCAGATTCCAGGATTGACTGTTTGTTGTTGTAATCTGATGCTATAAAATCCAAGTGTCATCAAGTTCTTACCTTTTGTAACTGACCTGGTATTTCAAGTCTCATACTGGATCAGTTAATTCAGCTTGAATTGAGGTCCAAGTGAAATGTTTTTAGTATTTGTCACAACTGATCACCAATTTTTATCTGATGGGTATAGTAAGCAAGCTCTATTGTACATGGAATTTGCTATGTCAGGCACTTTCCAATTATTATTCCTTATCCTCCTAATACCACTACTACAGTTTTTCTGTGGCAAGATAACAAAGAGTGTGAAAGATGGGCTGTCTGAAGGGAATGTAAAACTGTGATCTTAAGTTTATTTGTGTGTGAGTATGCTGGTTAAACAATGAAGCTTCTGCATACAGAAGCCTTGGGGCTCTTACAGCACTGATAGATTATAGCCTTTGGATGGATGTGCATGACTTGTCTAGCACCTGTAATGATTTAGGGAGGCAGACAACTGTAATCTCCAACCATGTTAAAATTTTGCATTGGTGTTCCTGTGCAGTCACCTAGAAATTTAGAAAATCAAAAGTCTAGGAAAGCTTGTTCAATCATAGAATTATGACCACTGCACAATAATCTCAGCTGAGAGCAGAAGGTAGATTGGAGTCACTGATAGATGTCTAAGTCACTCACTATTTTGTTTTATATTCCTGCTGAACACTTTTTTTTATTTCAGCAAGCCTACTAAGACCTATATTTTAGTTATCTGTATTTGTTTTAAAATGTTTTACTGGCTTTTTCTGCTCTTTGATAATTATTTTTTATATAGCCTTTAACAGTTTTGCTGATTTTACCCATGTTTTATGGATAATTTTATTATGTACACTACCTAGACAACCATCTGTTGAATCAGTCTATACATTTTTCTAAATAAAAATAAAATACATAAGCTAGTGTAAAGATATTTAAAATGGCAAATGTAAAAATATTGTTTTGTGGCCGTCCTCATCTCTGAACCTTCATGCTAATTAATGGTTAAACATTTGTGTATATATTGGTTGCCTTTGGTCAGATCCTTGTGTGGATCATTAGGCAAGTTTTGTGTTGGAATCTCTGATTTGTGACAACACAGATATATATATCTGTACTTATATAAGTTAGTTATCTTGGTGTTTAGTTTATGGAGTTCAATAAATAATTGGCTGTACCCTTTAACTCACCACATGACATCTGGCCTCTTTGGGCCACTACTTTGCACCTAAATTTAGTGAACCTGAGTTTAGTGAACCCTCAGGGTCCAAATGAATGTCAACACTCAAATGAAAAGAAAGGAAGTAGATTCTGCAAGGCTTAAATTTTCCCGGCCCTAGTCTGTCTGAATCCATCCATAGTGATAGCAATTTCGTCTTAGAGTATTATTTCCCATAGAATATCTGCTAATAGCAAGAGGCTTAACATTCTTCCAGTTCCCATATTCATTCTGGTGTCACTTTCCCCCTTTTTAGTCACTACACTGTGTGTTTTGTAACTCTGTTGGGTAGCCATTATCTTAGAGCTTGAGGAAGACCTCAACAAATACCTAATCCAACCCCTGCAGTTAGTCTACTGATGTTTTCGGATGGGCCAAGTTTTGTCCAGAAAGTCACCATGAACTTATTTCTGTACATAGTGATTTACCTACCGTATTTTTCGCCCTATAGGACGCAGTTTTTCCCCTCCAAAAATGAAGAGGAAATGTGTGTGCGTCCTATGGGGCGAATGCAGGCTTTCACTGAAGCCTGGAGAGCAAGAGGGGTCGGTGCGCACCGACCCCTCTCGCTCTCCAGGCTTCAGGAAGCTATCCGCAAGCCTTGCGAGCCCGGCAAGGCTTGCGGATAGCAGCCTGTTCTGGGGGCTGGGGTTGGGGGAAGCTCGGGTTGGGGGGGGAGAAATTTTTTTTATTCATTTCCCCCCAAAAAAACGAGGTGTGCCCTATGGGCCAGTGCGCCCTATAGAGCGATAAATACGGTATATCTTGGATACAGGGTTGTTGTATTTTGTATAGATATGAAACAAATGTATATGGTTTTTAGATGTACAGTATCATGAAATCTCACTAATAGAAAACATCCCTCTATATTTCCAGTATTTACAAGGTTAACTTTATTAGAATTGCATTGGGTTTCAGTAAAAAAAAAAAAAACCTACTTGCTAGCGTTTTGTGCCTTATTCTGAAGCAGGACAATTCCTTCACTCCAGAAATGCATAAATGTTATGCATAAAGGATGCCACTAGGCGGTGCCTTAGGTTTAATTATTTTTCAGCAAATGTAGGAACTGACACTTTAGATATAGTATAATTAGGAGATTTGGGGTTATGTGCCTACTATTAGAGTACATTCTGTGACTCTGTATTGTAAATTTGCAGTAGCTAATTCAGCAATGTCTCTGCAGGAACTGTCAAGTTCTAGAAGAGATTACGACTGACTGGCCTTTAAAAGGTAAGAATATACCTGCTTTTAAAACTTCTGTTGTCTTAGCACAGTGGTTCTCAAAGGGTGTGGCAGGCCACATTGGTGTGGCAGGAGAGGATAGCAACTGTGAACTGTGGCGGGAAGATTCAAGGACAATCAATTATTTCAGTATGGTAGCATCAAAATAGTAATTTTTAATTGCAGAATATGGATAGATGTATTTTCAAAATGAGAGCAAGAACACCATAGGATACTGCAGACAATCCTAGGTGAGACCCAGAATCGTGTTTAGAACAGAGTGCTGGATAAAACTTGTTTATAATTATATTTTGGGAATGATTCATTTTCTTATATAGCTGCATTGTTTTATACTTTCTGGATGTCCCATGATCATATTATAAAGTAGTTGTGTTCTGCCAGGAGTTGTTTAGTTTTGTTTTCCAATGTATTTCTTATCAGTAAAAAAATTGATGTGGTGCAAACAAATTTGTATTCTGAAAGTGTGGCCCAGAGAAAAAACTTGAGAACCACTGCTTTAGCAAAATCTAAAGCTTATTTTTCTCTGCTGGTTTTTTAAGACTAACTTAAAAATAGGACTGGAATATATATTCAGAAATAAAACTAACTGTTCTTGCATTAGGATGAAAACTAAAATCATTATACAATGAATGAAGATACTTTAACGCGGCAAATGGTAAATACTAGTCTGATTAACTGGTTGTCTAATTGAAAAATGCAAATTAGGGATCAGAATTAATATGTAAATAATAAAGATAATAAACCGTTTAAAATACAATTTGTTATAAAGTTTGCTGCAAGCAACCTTATGGCAAATTTCCTAAAGATGGTAAGCAAACTGTTAGACTGAAAAGTCTGTACTGTGTGGCAGAAACAATTATCCATGTTATTTTTGATTTGATCTTCCTAGAACAGAAAGCCACATGTCAGTATCTGTTCACTGTATTCATGCTATCAAAACCAGATGTACTTGCGCAACACTACTGATTTCTGTAATGGGTATAAAAATATGGCCAAGATGTTCTGGCCTTGTGAAATGTGTTATTGATGGAGATCCAGCCGTAGATCAGCTAATGGTTGCCAAAGCATTTTAAATAAGGCTGGGTGAGATGTTGGCTGCTTTCTAAAAAAAAGTGAAGCTGTTGAATACTCAAGAGAATGAGCATCATATCTCAACTGCAGAGTTGCAAATTTAGAGAGCTTAGAAAGTAAGATCTTAATTACACTATTTAGGAAAACAAATATCCCCAGAAGTATTAATTGCTCCTTTTAGTTGCCTTAAGGATTTCAAGACATTGAAATATATAATTGCACCTTTTATGGTTATTTCATTAACAGAATGTAGCTTCATGCTCTGATGCCCTCAAACCAGGGCTTAAGGAAGGATGAATAGGAAGGTGGGTCCTTACTTTACACTGTCAGGAAATGGTTTGATGGTAAGAACCATGGTTGCAAAGCTGCTGATGTAAATAGACTAGAGAAAATGTTTGAAAATTCTAATCAGGGGTTGGCAACCTAAGGCCCATGGGCCACAAGCAGCCCACGGGGGTCGTTTAACCGGCCCAGGAGCTGCCCCCGAACTTAGTCACCCACTCGGCGAGTCCCCATGTGCTGCACTAAACTGGCGCTGGAAATTGCATCTGTGCAGATGCAGACACTGGAAATCGTGGGCGTGGGTGCAATCCAGCCCACGAAGGGATCTCCACTGGAGTGAACCGGCCCAGGCGAGGTAAACCTTGCCAACCTCTGGTCTAATTTTTTATTAATTGGAAGCAATTCTAAGCACAACGAGGGTTCCCAAAACACAATTCAACCACTAACAAATCCCAGTTCCATATAAAAGTGAATATAAATTCTCATTTAAACAAAATACCCGTACATGTATAAGTTATGGTTACCCTATTGTATGTATCAACATCCTGATAATGGAGCACTGGTTAAAATCCATTTAAACAGATTGCAAACGTGAGCCAGAGGAACAGTTGAACGGACAGGTGACTCCCCATTTACAAGGGGGTTCATTCCGAATCCCCACTTGAGTTGGTGAAATCACGTAAAATGGGGAGTTGCCTTTCAGCTGTATATTGTAACTTGAACTTTTTGTGGGCATGCTTGTAATGTGTTTGCAAACACCACTGTCTATACAGTACTTCGGGAAATTTAGACTTGCAGCATAACCTTATTTTGGATGTGATTGAACCGTGGTCACTGATTATCTATTCAGCTCTGTTTTTTGTCGTCATCCAGTCATGTTGCTTAGCACCTCTCCCTCTCACAAAACAATAGGCTAATGATAATCCAAGGCTTCTGGTCACAAAATGCATATGCCTCTTTCGAGAGACAGGATGAGGCAGCTGAGAGATTAAGAAGTTTCTGCTTTATTTAACTGCCTAGGAGCTATTCAAAGTGGTAGGAAACTTTTGCTTCAGCAACTTGAATAGGTGAATTGGAAACTAAGTTATAAGAAAGATGAGGTGGACAATATGAAATAACTATACTATGTTTATTTTTAAGGTACAAATAACGGAGATACAGTATTTTGAACTTAGAAACATAGTATTTGAAAGATACAGTAAGATATGAAATAAGGTAACAAATTGCTGATGTTTTAATTGCAAAGAACGCAGGGTTCAGAAGATGTGGGGAAGTCCAGTTGGAATGGCAAAAATATTTTGGAAAGTTGGTTTCTATGTATCTCTTTCTCTTTTTATCTTCATTCTTTATTCTTTATTCTGTAAATTTCTAACTGTTGGAAAGAAAATTTAATAAAATATTTTATTTTATTTTTAAAAAGGAGCTATTCAAAGTGGCGGGGGGGGGGGGAGAGATACCTACCTTGAACAGAAGTTTATACAGAGAGCTCAATTTACTTGAATTCCAAGTGTTCATAGAAGAAAAAAATATAAGCTTGAACTTAACTAGATTCTTATTGATGTTTCCAAGAATCCAATTACATTTACTTATGAAATTTCTACGCTGCATTTCCTTGTTAGCATCCAACGTGGCTTACAGCAATATAAAATGCACAATGCAGTAAGAATAGTAAAATAAAAATAACAAAAGAGCACATTTTATTCACTTGCTTAAAAAGCATTTATACCCTGCTCTTCAGCTGAAAAAGGTGCCAGCGCTACTTGCAATGACCAGAAATGCTGCAGTCCTTGCCTCAGGCTAACAATATATGAGACGGAGCACAAAAGGAAAAGGGATTGGTAGGCACTAGTTCTTAATTAATAACTTCAGTGGGTAGTAATTCAGTGGTCTTAGAGGCTAACGGTACAATCCTATACATGTCTCTACTCAGAAGTTTGTTCCATTGAGTTCAATGGAGCATACTACTAGACAAGGGGGTGTAGATTTGAAGCCTAAGGATGCCATAAAAAAACCTCAGTATAACTAAGCTGGGATCATCTTGGTTACTGTAAAGCCTAATTTTAGCACATGTTGAAAATTGAGTTAGACTACTTTGAAAAGCTTTTATGGCTTTCATGAACTAAAACCTATTTGGAGGATCTGAGCAACGTAATACATTAAATTTGATTATTCAGTGTGTTAAGATAAAACTCTGGAGCTGAACAAAACCAGAAGGTTGACATTTTTGGACCAAAATCTTCAAGAGGACATTATTTTATAAGCTAAGTTTGATCTTGAAGCAAAGATGTTTCTCTAGGAAAAGTAAAGGTACATGGAGACTGACTGGAGATGTAGGCTTTTCGCCAACAATAGCTCCATGGCTGTTTCTGGGCTATAATACAACAGTATGGATGTTGTTTAATAATACTAATTTCTCTCCAGCTTCTCCCTTGATTCATTCCAGCACATGGATAGGACTTACAGCCTCAGGAAACATTCAGGAAACTAGCAGTAGTATGGAAAAGTGAGACTACTAGTAATCCTAAGAATAAATACATTTTGATCCACGGCCTCCTAACTAAAATCTGTCAGAATTTATGTATGTTTTGGAATATCTTTCTTTATTTGAAGACAAGGGGGGGGGGAGTCCCAGCCGCCCCACAAGTCAATTTTTTTTGTTTTTGTTTGCAACGGAGACTGGCGTCTAAGCAAGGAGTAAACAAGAAATTGTGGTATTTTAAAGTCATTTAATATAGCACAATTGACAATACAGGTCAGTTTGGAAACCGGGAAGATGAGCATGATTGTTAAGCTAATAATATGCTTCCTAAGGATAGTTGCTTGTAACTGCCCAATTTGAATGGTACTGCATTTATTTATTGTGCTACTAAAGAATTTCATGAAAACATGCATTTTTAGAAATGGATGGCTTACTAAGAAACTCTTTGCCCCACATTATTGAAATTCTAATAGATGATATTACTTAGCCACTTTGTGTAATATATGCAGCCTCAACTTGAATCTTTGTTTTTGTCCTAGGATGAAGACGATTGTGAAGATGGCTTGCCTAAGGAATTTTAAAAGGTGCAGACCACCTGATTGAAGATGGTGGTTCTGTGTCTTATCCCATTTGATAAGTAAAGTAAGTGGAATGATTATATCCAGTATTTAAGTTGCATGATTACAGCAGAGATCTTCTAATAAAGCCAGAATTTAAGGGATTCAGAAATAATTGTAAGCAGATTTACCGTATTTTTCGTCCCATAGGATGCTCCGTCCCATAGGACGCACCTAGTTTTTTGGGGGGGAAATAAAGGAGAAAAAAAATGAGGACGCGGGTGGCGCTGTGGGTAAAACCTCAGCGCCTAGGACTTGCCGATCGCATGGTCAGCAGTTCGAATCCCCGCGGCGGGGTGCGCTCCCGTCGTTCGTTCCCAGTGCCTGCCAACCTAGCAGTTCGAAAGCACCCCCGGGTGCAAGTAGCTAAATAGGGACTGCTTACCAGCGGGAAGGTAAACGGCGTTCCGTGTGCTGTGCTGGCTCGCCAGATGCAGCTTGTCACGCTGGCCACCGGAAGTGTCTGCGGACAGCGCTGGCTCCCGGCCTATAGAGTGAGATGAGCGCACAACCCTAGAGTCTGTCAAGACTGGCCCGTACGGGCAGGGGTACCTTTACCTTTTTTAAAGGAAAAAATGTTTTCCTTTATTTCTCCCCCAAAACCAGGTCGGGGAACAGCGGGATGGCGGCGCTGCGCCTCCCCGCTGTCCCCCGAGCTTGTGGGGCTGGCTGATGTCTGCCCGGCGCGAGGGGCGCTCTGCTTCAGGGCGTGCTGGGCGGCAGGCTGCAGGTGTCTGCCCGGCGCGAGGGGCGCTCTGCTTCAGGGCGCCCCGGGCGGCAGGCTGCTATCCGCTGCCTAGGCTGCGGATGTGTTCCCGAAGCGCCGGGCGCTCTGTTTTCGGGGCGCCCGCCGCTCCGGGAAGCAGGCTGCTATCCGCAGCCTAGACAGCCCTGCGGGAACTCACGCAGGGCTGCCTAGGCTGCGGATGTGTTCCCGAAGCGCCAGGCGCTCTGCTTTCGGGGCGCCCGGCACTCCAGGAAGTAGGCTGCTATCCACAGCCTAGACAGCCCTGCAGGAACTCCCGCAGGGCTGCCTAGGCTGCGGATGTCTTCCTGAAGCCTGGAGAGCGAGAGGGGTCGGTGCGCACCGACCGCTCTCGCTCTCCAAGCTTCAGCGAAAGCATGCATTCACCCCATAGGACGCACCCAGATTTCCTCTTCATTTTTGCGGGGGGAAAGTGCGTCCTATGGGGCGAAAAATATGGTACTTAGCAAAGATAAATGTTTAAGCTATATATAACAGATGATAAGTAAACAAAAACAATAGCAGTTCTTCAGAACTCCAACACCAGAAGTTTCAACAAGGAAGTGGACGGTGGCAATAATTTGAGTGCTCTTCTATGCTGAAATATAGGCTTATGCTGCATGGCTTCTCACTTCTCTTTGGGGGTAGCTGCTTCATTTCTGCAGTGGAGATAAGTTTGGAAGGACCATCTAAGTGGAAAGTGTGGTGTTGTCAAGAAGCATAGGTGTGCTATTCAAATTGGGGTCTTGGAAGTTCCCTTTCAATGCAGTTTAGAGTAAATAGCACAACAGGTGTGGGTGGAATTTGCATACTTGCTTTTCTATTGCTTACATTTTTGTTATATCTGTATAACTGTATATTTTTAAAATCAAAATGGTTTATATATACACACGCACTAAAAACCATGTAAAAATTTAAAATCTGAGATCACCCACCAAACTGTTACAGAATGAAGGTTTCTTGATGTCCTGCATAAGCTTGGTGGTATACAAAAGTGTTCAGGTGCCATTTAAAGTAAAAGGTGTGTGCTGAGTCCCTATTGGCACAACATTTGACAGCATTGGACTAAAGGCTTGGGGGTTTTTTGTTGTTGTTGTTGCTGTCAGATGGGCCTTACTAACTCAGGATGACCAACGATGCTTCTGCAGATGATCTCAGTGACAAAGCTGAGATATAAGGGTTCAGGCAGTCCCTAAGGTAACCCGGACCTAAGTTGTTCAGGGCTTTGTAAATGTATACAAGGACCTTGAAAGTAAATGGGCAACCATTGCAAATACATTAGCAATAGTGGCATATGTTGGCCATGTGCTCCCATCAACAGTATGGTGGACACTTTCTGCACCAGCTGCAGCTTCTAGACCAGGCCCAAGGGCAGCCCCACATAGAGCAAATTGCAGTAATCCAGGTTACCAATGCATGGACTTCAGCTTAACTTGAATCAAAATATTTAGTGTCTGCTGAATGCTATTGTTGGTTTGTTGTGCAGTGTACACACTGCATGACTAGAAGAATAGCAACTGTAAGAACAATATTTGTTAGGTTTGAAGTCTTAACAAATGTTTTGATATTTTCATTAATTAAATAAAATTGTATCTGTATTCTCAGCTAAGAATTTATCACTTGTTTTTCATTTCCAGTTGCCACTGTTCCATAAGCAAGTCATGATTACGTTAACTGAACTCAGATGTTTAGCAGATGCCCAATCATCGTACCACATCCTAAAACCATGGTGGGATGTCTTCTGCTATTACCTCACCATGATAATGCTGCTTGTTGCTGTCCTTGCTGGAGCTCTCCAACTCACGCAAACTAGATTGTTATGTTGTCTTCCTTGCAAGCTTGAGTTTGACAATCATTGTGCAGTGCCTTGGGATCTGGTGAAAAACAACCTTAATGTATCCTCCAGCTCTGCAGCGCCGATAGTGCTCCCTCTTAGAATCCAGAATTACCTTCATCGACAGCAGTATTCTTACATTGATGCTGTGTGTTACGAGAGAGAGCTTCACTGGTTTGCCAAATTTTTCCCATACTTAGTGCTTCTTCATACTTTCATTTTTGCTGCTTGCAGTAATTTTTGGCTTTACTATCCCAGCACAAGTTCAAGGCTGGAACACTTTGTAGCCATACTACACAAATGTTTTGATTCTCCCTGGACAACACGTGCCCTGTCGGAAACAGTTGCTGAACAGTCTGTGAGGCCTCAACCATTCTCCAAATCTAAGACCTTTCTTTCCTCTCCAAGCAACATAGCAGAATTGGAGAACAAGCGGCAGTCTGTCTCCTACTCACAGACTGGGCTGGAAACAGCTGGAAGAGAGAGCTCTTCAAATGTTCTAGACAGAAAAGAAGGGGAGCAAGCAAAATCAATATTTGAAAAAGTCAAAAGATTCAGGCTGCATGTTGAACAGAAGGATATCATCTATCGTGTATACCTAAAACAGATTGTGATCAAGGTCATTGTATTTATATTAATAATGATTTATGTTCCCTATTATTTAACCTTTATTACACTAGAAATTGACTGTGTGGCTGATATTCAAGTCTTTACTGGTTACAAGAGATACCAGTGTGTTTATTCACTAGCAGAAATTTTTAAAGTGCTAGCTTCGTTTTATGTTGTCGTGGTGATCTTGTATGGCCTGACGTGCACTTACAGTTTGTTATGGATGCTGAGAAGTTCACTCAAACAATATTCTTTTGAGAAGCTGAGGGAGCAAAGTAATTACAGTGATATTCCTGATGTAAAAAATGACTTTGCCTTCATTCTTCACCTAGCAGATCAGTATGATCCTCTGTATTCAAAACGGTTCTCAATATTCCTCTCTGAGGTGAGTGAAAACAAGTTGAAGCAGATCAGTCTAAATAACGAGTGGTCTTTAGAGAGATTGAAAAGCAAACTGGTACGAAATTCCCAGGATAAGATGGAACTTCACCTTTTTATGCTTAGTGGTCTTCCAGATGACATCTTTGAACTCACAGAGATAGAAGTTCTAACCCTAGAACTTATTCCTGAGGTTAAGCTTCCTGCATCTGTAAACCAGCTACCCAATCTCAAGGAACTGAACATTTATCATTCATCATTAACTGTGGAATTTCCAGCACTGCACTTCTTGGAAGAGAATTTAAAAATCCTGCGTCTAAAGTTGGCTGATATGGGAAAGATTCCACGCTGGATCTTCTATCTAAGTAACTTGCAGGAATTGTATTTGACTGGATGTTATATGCTAGAAAACCAGAATGGTCTCTACAATGAGGGCTTTCAGGATCTTATGAATCTGAAAACAATTCACTTAAAGAATAGCCTTTCCCGCATACCTCAGGTGGTTACAGACCAGTTGCCTTCACTACAAAAATTATCTATTGACAATGAGGGGAAAAAACTTCTAGTGTTGACCAACTTGAAGAAATTGCTTAACCTGAGAACTTTGGAATTAATCAGCTGTGACTTGGAGCGCATTCCACATTCTATCTTTAGCCTGAACTATTTGCATGAAATAGACTTAAAAGACAATAATATACGAACAGTAGAAGAAATCATTAGTTTTCAACACCTTGAGAACCTTTCTTGCCTGAAATTGTGGCACAACACCATCTCCTACATCCCAGTGCAGATTGGAGCTTTAGCAAACCTGGAGCAGCTCTATTTAAATCATAACAACATAAAAAAAATCCCACCACAACTTTTTCTTTGCCTAAAGCTACATTATTTGGACCTCAGTTATAACAAGCTAACATCCATTCCACATGAAATCCAGTATTTAACAAACCTGCAGTACCTTGCCGTGACAAAGAATCACGTAAGTAGAAGCAAACTATTGGCGGAATTCAGCATTGCATCTTGCAATCATTCCGTTTGTGCAAGCAGTCCAGCTTGCCAGATGGAACAGTACCCCTTCCCATCCCCCTACACTGTCCTGGGAATTCCCATTCCCCACCCCTGCTCCAAGCTGATCTTGGGAAGTGCATGGCTGGTAGGAGGAAGCCTCATTGCACAAGCAGAAGTCCTTGTGCAGGGCTTCTGCTACCAGGACTGGTTAGGTGAATCCCACCCTTTTGCTTTAAAGTGAATGAAAAATAAAAGCTAAGAAAAAAAGTTAATTGAGATTGAAGGCATGGTAGAAGCCCAGTCCTGCAATATATCACAGCAGTGGTTGCCAAGCTTTTTTAATCCCATGGGCATATTTGCCAACCAGAAAACGTGGGTACCACACACCTCAACCAGTTATATTCGCTGCAATAAAATGCTTTCCAATGTAGTAGCAGTAGTCCTGCTGCAGGCAGTGAGCGAAAAACCTGTTCTGTGTTCTTGCTCTGGAAAGAAAATCCAATTTTCAGTACTTGAGTGGGGAAGTATTTTATCTTTATTATGAGTTCTTGTTGTATCTGTAGACTATAGGAAATCCTATCTAGTCAAAACCATTTTCCTGACTTATTTCAGCTAGAACAGTAACATACAGCATTCACAAAGGTAGCTTACTTCAATCTCTTCATACATCATTGGTTTCAAACCTATTTGTCTCCTCCCCTGCCCCATTAGCCTGCTTCAAATGTAAGTGTTAAGCAGGGAGCTCAACATCTAACTTTTGATGTGCCCCCATGAAGGATTGTTTCACAGGGCTTATAGCAAGTTGCTCAGATTATTAATTCTTTGCTTATCGTTCTTTTGTTTATTTGAAAATTAGGCATAAAACAGGTCATGTGAATCAGCCAGGGATTTCCACAATGAAATAGGCATTTTCTCAACCATCTACATTTTAAAAAGAATATTGCAGAGGGCTGGGGAAGGATACAGAGAGATAGCCCTCACTGAATGCATGTATCCTAGGCTCTAGATCAGCATGATTTAGGAATACATAAATTAACTGATTTTGTGTGTTTGTGTGTGTAAATTAATGACCTTACAATATTATGTCTTTTTTATTTTTTTCTCTTTAGATTGAGGCACTTCCAAATGAATTATTTCAGTGCAGAAAGCTACAGTATCTCCTACTGGGACATAACAGCCTGATGCATTTGTCCCCTAAAGTTGGGGAACTCTCCAACCTTGTTCAGCTAGAGCTTACAGGAAACTACCTGGAGTTGCTGCCTGCCGAACTGGAGGAATGTAACTCTTTGAAACGGAGCTGCTTAATTGTAGAAGAACACTTGCTAAAAACTCTCCCCCTTAGGGTAACAGAGCATATGCAAATGTGCTTGGACAAAGTCTGAGCTTGAGATTCTCTGTGCAGAGCAACAAATTCCTCTTGAGAGCTTTAAATAATAGCTCTAAAGGAAAGTATAGCTGGCAAGAAGGGAAATGCAAGGGTGTTGTTGATTTTCCCGCAGCTCTGTGCATTGACCCAAGTTTCTGCTGATAAAAAACCCCACACACATTTAAGTCTTAAGCAAACAAAAATAAATATTAGGCAAGTATATGCATACATATATACCATGAATAATTTGAAACTGGAATTAAAGAGTGAAAGTTAAGTGGATAGTGTAATCGTGGTTTTGAATGACTGGGAAAGGTGAATATATAGTTTGTCCGAGTCTAGTAAGGGTTGTTTCCCCATAACATTTTATTGTGTAGTTTTCAACAAATGACTGTAAAGACCAACAAACAAAGGGTGATATCCAATTGTTTTATCCTTCTTGCAAACTGGACTTCTATATTTGCAAACAGGACGTACCATTTCTCCCACTCTGCAGCTCCCCATCAGCCCTCATAATCTGCATTGGAGGGTTGGGGGATCCTCTACATCAGATTGGATGTTGACTGCAGGAGGAGGGGAGGGGGAAGTGTAATCCACTGCAGCAGGAGACAACTCTGGATCTCACCCATAGCTTTTCACACATTCGCCATGATTGGGTGTTGGTGACAGTGGGAGGATCATTGTGAAGACTATAGTTTTCACAAAGACCCTCCCTCTGTCACCGCACCACTCATTTTATTATACTGGGGAAATGATTTCAAAGTTGTGTTTTGCAACAGGAGATGATATTTTTGTTTATAAGTAAGTAAGAAATTACTGCGTACACAAGTACAGTTTTCTAGTGCTTGTCTCTAATCCTGAGGCAGCAATAGAACCTTAATATATGATGTAGGAGGTCATTTTCAATATCTGGCTTTTTTTTTCTTTTGTCTTTTGGTATTTTCTTGCATCTCCCCAATTGGAGTTCTGATGCACTACTGGGAGGAGATTTCAAATATGTATGTCAAGTTACAAGCAAATAAGGAGAACACCACTGTTTTTAAGTATTAATGGATAATGTAGAGGTTTTTTTTTACAAAAAACAATAATTCAACTCTAACCTTAAAAATATTTGGGCAACATCAATTTATCCCTTATACACAAAGGATGGTATGTTACAGCAGTTTTCCAAAGCACATGACTAATTTAAGTCTTATTGATTGTATAGTTGTACATCTTTCATCTTCTTTAGTGACTTACATAAAGAAAGGTATACCGTATTTTTCGCTCTATAGGACGCACTTTTTCCCCTCCAAAAATGAAGGGGAAATGTGTGTGCGTCCTATGGAGCGAATGCAGGCTTTCGCTGAAGCCTGGAGAGCGAGGGGTCGGTGCGCACCAACCCCTCCCGCTCTCCAGGCTTCAGGAAGCTATCCGCAAGCCTTCGGAGCCTGGCAGGAGTTCCCACCGGGCTCCCAAGGCTTGTGGATAGCAGGCAGCAGCCCGAATCCCGGGGAGTGCAGTGCTGCGCAGCCTGGGCTTTGGGCAGCTATCCGCAAGCCTTGCATGCAACCTCACTCCCAGACCCGTTCTGGAGGCTGGGGTCGGGGCAAGCTCGGGCTTCCCCAGCCCCAGCCCTGTGGCTAAAAAGGAAGCCAAGGCAGCGAGCGGGATGGATAATTTTTTTTTCTTTATTCCCCCCCCAAAAAAAAAACCTAGGTGTGCCATATAGAGCAAAAAATACAGTAATATGAACACTCCCAGATAATCTGAGAGTAAGATAATTATTTATGTAAGTCACTAAAGAAGATGAAAGATGTACAACTATCGTAGGTTGGAATCAGCCTGTCATGTGCTTTGGAAAACTGCTGTAACATACCATTCTTTGTGTATGAATAAGGGATAAATTAATCAGATTAACTGAAATCTCACTGATTTCAGTATTCTAAGCATGACTGCAGTGGTGGAGCTTTCTGATATCATTCAACCTGATCTCACAAAATCAGCATATGGAACGCTACATTATGTGGCAGAATAAAGTACATTTTCTCTGAATGCATGCTAACAAGTTTACACCATAAACAGGGGAGGGGAAAAAATATGATGTCTCAGCAGCATTGAAGTAGATACCATACCCAAATGGTATGGTATGTTGTCTCTTTCTCAGCTGCCCTCCAGGTGGAAGAGTGCCTAAATGTGCCCTCCCAAAAAACTGACCCAGGGCAATGGCCTCCTCAGGCCACACCCTTCATGACTGGCTCCAACTGCATTTGGGTATGGCATCTACTTCAATGCTGCTGAGACATCATCTTCATCTTTTTTCCCTCCCCTGTTTATGGTGTGAACTTGTTAGCATGCATTCAGAGAAAATGTATCTTATTCTGCCATATAATGTAGCATTCCATATGCTGATTTTGTAGATCAGGTTGCATGATATCAGAAAAGTGCTTGTGTAACTATTTTATATTGACTATTTTTTTCACTTTGCTCCTTTTAAAAATAGCTTACTTTATCTTAATGCCACAAAACTAAGTTAATCTCTCCAGTAGTATCTTACCATGTTGACATCAGTCCATCACAATAATTACATTCCAAAGACCTTTTTAAATAGCTCTCAGGGAACAAAAAAAAATAAGCTTTGTGTTTTTCATGGATCCAATACAGGTCTGATACAGGTCCAATTCTCCCGGGTTGTTTTCCCCCCAAGATGCGATTTATTAATATTTTTGGGTATTTTTCACATCTGCATGCCAAGAAACATGTTTCACGTTTAGTTTCTAATATTCAAATTAAGTTTTGTTACATAACGGAACACAAATATGCTTAATGCATAGGACTACATTGGGCAACAAAGTCTAGATGTTTCAGAATCTACCCAGATGGGGCTCTTTCCTGTCATGTAAAAGATACAAACCTGGAACAACATGGCAATGAGAGAGTGGCTGCTGTAGAGGAATTTGTACTAGGAAAAAATTGTGGACATAATTAGCTTTTTGGCCTTCATGTTACCTTGTTCACCCATCTCAAAATCAGCTGCAGTGTACTCATTTTTGCCTCTGTCATCTTTTACTTCTTTCTAGCTCTGTTCTGGTCCTACTCAGCTTCTGACTTGTGCTTGCCAACAGTCATCTCACAAATAGATGTCATTAATGTTGGTGTATGGTGGCACCGGAATGGTTTAAATCACTGTGGCCAGAACTCTGTTCTGAAACTTTTAAAGTCTTGACATTGTTGTATATGTGTTGTGTATGTGTTATAACTGTGTTAAGAGTTATAAAACATTCACAAAAATATTAAAACTTTTAAAGTTTCAGAAATTGATGGACACCTTTGTTTGTTTTTAAAAGGAAGTTGGTTGTTTCCACTTTAAAGACCTGCTTTTTGAACAAAAAAATCAAACAAAAAACCAACTGGGCATTGCTGAAAACACACTTGTAGAGATTACTGACACTCTTCATTTTAACTATATCATGTGTTGGTCCACCTTTTTAGTAGTGAATGGACTTAAGAATGGCCTTGATTTCTTGAACATTCCCTCCACTCGGATTATTTTATCATCCAACACAGGGGTAGCTGATATAGTTCCCTCCAGCTGCTCGTGACTACCACTCCTATCATCACTGACAGTTAAACTGGCTGCGGCTGGAAGGTACCATGTTGGCACCCCATTTTGGGGCATTTTGAAATGCGTAGTAGTAACATCAAAAAAAGTCTTCTGTGCTGTATTTCTAAAAAACCAGTGAGACCAGGAAAGGGCTATTAAAGAAAGCATGGATAACATTGACTCGGAAAGGTGAAGATCTCTTTAAAAAGGCTATGGCCGTAACACACAGGTATGAGGGCGTGATCATTTGCCTAAATACGGACTAACTCAGAATTAAATAACACGAGCATAAGAATTTAAAAAGTCTGTTTGATTAATGTCTTATTTTAATCTTTTTGCAAAGCATTTTTCACAAAGAGCAAGAAATCTAAAGGCTGGTAATTCTGGCCTTATTGCATGCCACAGTGTGCCTTTTGTTTCCTTTCTGTATTCTGACCTCACACTTCAGATGGCAGAGCTGAACTGTGAGTATTTTTGAAAACTGCTTTGTTTCCCATCTTCATACTTAATATATTGCATTGAAGAGAATTTCAGCAAGCTAAATCACCTTCCTAATTATAGGACAAGCTATGTTAACCACAACTCATATTTGTATATAGCATTTATTTTATACACAATGGCTTTTCAGTTTGTTTCACTGTAATGCTGCTGGGGGGTAGAGAGGGAATGTTTAAATATGGTCTTGCATATACTGGCAATTTCTGTTGAAAAAAATATTTGAATAAAATTCTATTAAGTTGTCTATGCTCAATCCTGTATTTGTGTCATCTTAATTTTTTCTTCATTAAAAATGGGTCAGGATTTAGTGACGCCTGGCTAGCATTAAAAACTGAGCCCCACTTAACCCAAAGGTAGTCATTTTTCTTTTGTTCCCTTTAATTTAAATGGAAGGAAATTATACATATGTATTAACTCACCTATAAGATGTAAGTGCTGACTTAGTAAGCTGCTTATCTAGTATGAAGGAATTAAAATATTAGCAGCTTTTATTAGCTAAACACCAGTCTGATACAATTTAAAAATATATACTCACATCTAAATGCTTAGATTTTAATTTTTATTTACTTTCCCATGGGAAAAAATCCAAACATTCTATATAGCTACTGCCAACTGCTTTTTATAGCTGCTGTCCAAAACATGGAAAAAATATTTGGTTACTTGGTATAGCAACTGTCCTCTCAGGCCTCGGGCTCTAATGCCTTGGAAGGCTTGTCTTAATGCAGAATGTGGAAGTATACCAGTGCAATAGAAAACTACATTTAAAAAAACAAATTTTACCAGTCCTGCAGAAGCTTTTAAAAAGGCATGTATAAATAAATCCAGCTCTGTGCAAGGTCTTAAAATTTTCAGCATCAAAACATAAGTTAGCAGTCTGGACCAACTTTGTTAAGGTGAATTCTGCATGGTGGCTTTGACTACCATAAAGCATTCAATGATTGGGGCATAATAAGCGCTCTTGTGCCATATTATAATCTTCAGCAGCTACTGAGAGTGCACTCTTGAATAAACTCTTAACAAAGTTTTCCCACAATAATATTACATAATGTCCAGTGGCTGGCAGAGAATGACTTCCAAATTTGAGGGGAAGCGATTCCCCACTCACAGCCAAACAAATCAGTGCTCAGCATGTATTTGCTATCATATGTTTTCTGAAAAAAGTGTAGAAATAGGGACCAAACTTCCACAACCTACTTGAGGAGGAGGGGAGTGTGTGCAGAGAACAAAATGGTCTCTGGTGCAGGCATGCGTTAAAACTCTTCTCCCTCGGTGTTTGGCAGATTCTCTGTGCAGAAATATCAACAGCCAGTCTCTGCTCAGCTTTGGTCTGGGTTGCTGGAGTGGCAGCTAGGTGGGAAAGCAAATTTTAACACGTTCTATATTATCCATTTTTAGAAGCCACAACTGCTACTTTCCCCAAGCTTTTCAGTGGGCTAGAAATCTTGAGTTGTGATTTGATACTGGAGCTTTTGCATTTGACAAAATAGAACTAGAGGTGATTACTTTAGCATAGTCTGATCTTCGTGGCTTTTGATAAGAAAGCCCAGGCAAGATGCCACCAGCATGGACAGACCAATCTTTTCTTGAGGAACGCTTATGTCACTTAATCAAAAACACCATCAAGATCTAAGAATCGGAGGCAGGATGCCTCAGAATGGCAGTTGATAAGAATCCCATTGGAATCTGGTTGGCCACTGGGAAACAGGAGGCTGGATTAGACGGGCCTTCGGCCTCATCCAGAAAGACACTTCTTAAATTCCCAATAATGGTGTAGATCTCTTATTCTGTAATTTAGCCTATTTGCACTTTTACAACAGCCCACTAATCTCTTTTTTTCCTCCTCCCCCTTCCCACAAACTGATAATCTTTCAAAGGTATGTGCAGTGTTCGAGATATTCTTATAATTTGTTTAAAAACTTGACATAACTTTTATTCTTAAGGCTCTGTTTGCACATAGTGCTAGAGAAAACCTTTTCTACAGCTCATAGTTTGTCTAGAGTGAGACTAACATTAAGCTCTGGTTAAGACGTAACACTAAGCTAAACCATGGCTTGGCCCTGAGTAGCATGAGAGCAGTAGGGTAGAGGCACCGCCGTGGCCATGATCTTTGCTCCAGGACTCCAGTTTGTATAAACCATGGTTTAGCTTAGCATTACATGCAAACAGTACCGTGTTTAAATCATTTGAAAGGTATACTTCTGTTTCTTCTTTTTTCTGGATACCAAAGCTTCACTTGTTTCAGTCAGCAGGGTTTT